ATAAAGTCAGTTCTGCCTCAAAAGTAAAAACCACAAAGCCAAAGACAGTGAGACTACACCACACAATTCGACTGGTATAGACCCAAGACAGCTCCAAAGAAACTGCCACCCTCTGTCACTGTCCCTCATGGCAGTGAGTTCTCATTGCCCTTTGTGAGAGCAGGGTGGGCCAGAGGCATGACTGTTAGTCTATGTGCGTTTGGAGATCGTAGTGCATTCAGGAGTGTGGAGTAAACATTAGGGACCAGCATTCACTTACACAACAGCATCTGAGGTCCATCCCCTGGGCCTCTCCCCTCGGTTTTTGTCTTTCTCACTCCATGTGCAGGGAGTTGTGACTATAAATCTAATCCAAATTTTTAGACCTTTAAAAATCCCTAATTTTTTTGGTACCTGTGTCTTGGAGAGACATTGTTTTAAAACATATTGCAACAAGGCAACTTGAGCATTTGGGTGTCTGACCATGCTCCTCCAGAGCACAACACTTGATCTTTGGGGCAGGATGGTTCTTGAGCAGGGAACAGGTCTATGTACTTACTTATAACACTTACTTGAAACTCCATCTTGTGTCCAGCCTGTGGCACAAACAAAGCATCACATCGTCTCCAGCCTCCATCCCAAAGGGGCCAGAGCGTCTTCCCCTGTGATGCAGCAAAGGGAGAGCAAAGTTGCCCCAAGGAGAACCATGATAGAAGTGTGTCTGCCGTAGAAGTGGAATGGCTGGCAAGTCTACAGAGGTGTGAACATCATCAACTTCACAATACAAAACAACCCTCCAAGACATGCGTGCCAGCTTATCACACAGCAGCTATAGAGGAAATGTTTGCCATGTCCCAGCCGTAACCCTACATCTTCTGGGTGCCAGTGCTGGACTGGGATCTGCTCCACATATGTCTTCTCCCATATTGCTGTGGGTTTCTCTGCATGAATGGAAACAGTGCCTTCGATGCAGTCAATGCTTGCAATACTTTTCTCTGTTCTGTGATTCTGTGTTTTAATAAATTCTCAATCTTGAAGCAATAACAGAATATACTCCCACATTCCCTCAGGATGCACTCAAGTTTTGCTTTGTTTTTTCATCTCAAATAATATTGTCCTGGAACTACAGTTTTGTTGCATGTTTATTTGTTACATCATTGTGTGTGTTTGTGTGTGTGTGTGTGACACGTGTCATATAGCACATGTGTATAAGTCAGGGGACAACATTGTGGAGTCAGCTCTCTCTTTCTACCTTTACATGGGTTCCAGGGATTGAACCTGAGTCTTCAAGCTTTTGCAGACAGCACCCTTACTTGCTGAGCCATCTCTCAGATCCAGAACTGAGGCTTACGAGCACCTAGGCCAGTGTGAGTCTGTCTTTCCCAGGAGGAAATTAACAGCAGTACCAGCAACACTTACGTAAAGTTTTGTGTCCACACAGAGTTTCCCTTACGTTTTGTTTGTCCTGATTATCCCATTTCATGTGTCTACTCTGCCTCTTGCCACACTGTCCTGCACACCTGTCCGGGCACCTCCCCTAACATATTCATTGTCTCAGAGCATGGAAGCTGCTCTTAACCCTCTGCTCTTCCATATAAATTTTGGAATTTGCTTGGCAGTTTTTGCAAAGAGCTGTGTTAGGGTTTGATCAGCTGTGCATTGAATTGATCACAATGTATTTATACACACACACACACACACACACACACACACACACACACACACACACACACACTGGCTGGCCAGAAAGCCTGGTGATCCTCTTGACTCTGCCTCCCCATAACTGGAATCATAGACACACGTGACACGTCACCATGCCCAGCTTTTTATGTGAGTGCTAGGAACCTGGCCCCAGGTCTTGCGCCTGCATGGCGGCACTTTGCTGATTGTGCCATCTCCCCAGCTCCGTTCTTTTTCATCTTTGCCCTTCCCACAGGTGTATGGGCCATGTCATTGAATTCTATGCCCTTGAATGCATGATCAGTAACAGTTCTGTTTTCATGAATTTGTTTGCTACTTATTTATCTTCATGTTTATTCAACTCTCGAGCCATTTTTAATTTAATTATTTGGTTTTCTTATTGGATACAGAAGATTTTCACTTTCATGTATTTATATCATATAGTCATATAATAATGTAATTTCTTTATCCCAGTCTCTTGTGCTTTCACATTAAGCAATATCTTATGTTTTTGCTATTATATCTGAGAAATCTTTGCCTAACCCAAAGCCACACCATTTTTTTCCATTTCCTGCTGCAAGTTTTGCAGATTTAAGCTTTTACATTTACGTCTGTCATTCATTATGAAGAATTTTTTATAAATGGTTTAAGATTTGACTCAAAATTGATTTTTCATGTAGTTATCCAATTGTCCCAACACCATTTGTTGAACAACACTATCTGTTCTCTACTGAATTTTCTTTGCATCTTTGTCTAAAAAAAAATCAATGTCCCACATGTGTGTGGGTCTATTTGTGCATCTCCTGCTCCATTGATCTGTCTCTGATATCAACACCATGCTTATTTGTAAGACTCTAATGCCTTAAGCAATATTTCTCTGGCTGCTTTGATTTTGTTTATTGTTCATTTCCAGCAGGCTAGAAAATGTGTCTTCATGTGTGCACATGTTTGGGGGTTGTTGAGTTGTTTGATATTTGTTTTCATCAAATTTAGAACTTCTGGAACTATTTATTCCAGTATTCCTATCTGCGTCCCCTCTTCCAAAGCTGACATATGTAATCTCCTAAAAGCACTCCTCAGGTCACTGAGGCCTCCCCTCCTGGCATCCCTTTCCCTCTGCTTCAGCCTAGGGGGTCTCTGCTGCTCCGTGTTCATGGCCACTACCTTTTATCTTATGCAAAGCTAACCCAGAAAATTTTATATTTCTGAGATGGTGTGTCCAGTTCCAGAAGACCCATTGGTTCATGGTTTCATCTTTATTTCTTCACCGGTTCTGAATTTCTCTCTAGTTCTGTACATATAACAGCAGCTTCTCTGCAGCCTTGGATGTCAGCTCCTCCTCTCTCTCCTATCTGGGAGTTTCCTTGAACTTATTTCCCTCTAGTTATGTTTCCGTTTTCATTGTTACAGGATCTCAGGTAGCCTAGGGTGTCTTTGAACTTATGACCCTCCTCCAATACTCCCCCCAGTGCTGAGATTACAAGCCTGCTCACTCCAGTGTGCCCAGTTCATTCAGTACTGAGGAAGAACCCAGGGTTTTGGGTTTGTTGTTGCTTTGGTTTTTTTGGTTTTGTTGTTGTTGTTGTTTTCAAGACAGGTTTTCTTTATGTAGCTTTGGAGCCTTTCCTGGAACTCGATTTGTAGACCAGGCTGGCCTTAAACTCACAGAGATCTGCCTGCCTCTGCCTCCTGAGTGCTGAGATTAAAGGCGTGCACCACCACCACCCAGCAAACCCAGGATTTTATGCATGCAGGGCAAGAACTACCAGCAGAGTCACACTCAGCCCTCTGTTCACATTCTCCTCTTCCCATATTTGTCTAGTAGTTTTTGATGGGTGCCAGCCTTATGGTTTATTTGCAGAGTGTACTTTGTGCTTTCTTCCTTTAAAGAATGTCTGGTTTTCTTCAATCAGATCACGTAGTTACTTGAAAATCAGCTTGATCTTGTTTGTCTTGAGGTAGAGTCTCAAGTAGCCCAGGCAGGCCTCAAACTTGCTGTGTAGCTGAGGCATGCACCATCATACCTGACTCAACTCAACTGAACTGTTCATTGTGGCTCATGGTTGACTGGCTCCCCTAACCTTAAGAACTGTGGTGGGATGGGACATCATGGCAGAAGGATTAGGATGGAAAGCTGCTTACCTCGTAGCAGCCAGGAAGCAGAAGGTCACAGGAAGGGGCTGAAGATATAGCTGCTCTCCCAGGAAATCTGCCCAAGGACCCATTTCCCCCACCCCAGCCCCACCTTCTCATTTTCATGCTTCCCAATAAGGCCATCAAATTATAACATGATGAAGGAATAAGTCCAATGACAGTCAGAGCCCTCATAAGCCAATCTCATCCTAAAGGCCCACCTCTGAACAGTGTTGCTTCCTACCCAGTCACAACAAAAGAATCATTGGGGGACACTTCCTCTCCAAGCCAGAACACAAGCCCATTAGTTCTGACACCCGCAGAAGTCCTCGGTCACAACAGCTAAGGCACTTGCTGTGCTCTTCCCACACTCACACTTTAAGAGTGTGCACAAAAATCCCCAAATCCTCTTATTTAACAGGCACAGTTATTATCCCCACTTAAGCGGCATCAAGACTGAGCCCCTAGAGATGTGAAGGCACCAGCCTGAGATCAATCTGCAGAGATGATCCCAGATTGTTGAGCTACAGGGACATTACCTTGATGTAGGCAGCGCAGATATTTACACAAAGAGCCTAAGAACCCAAGGTTACTTTACGGTCATCTAACACAAGCCTGACATTAATACGCAAACACAGCAGGGATGCCTTTGGAGCGGGGCAGTGGAAGGAGAGCTTGCTGTTCCAAGTGTTTAAACTGTCATTTAAATTGTATCTTTTTTTAATATTAAGGAGGTACACCAAAGCATTAACAAGATAAGCACAAGGACTCTGCTCTGAGCTTTAATTCCACCACCAGCGATCATGTAGCACGTATTCTTATGAGATCAGGAAATATAAAAAGACGTATAAATAATTTAGAAAAGAGACTTCTCGAGACAGCTCCCTGTTGGCAGCAGGGGAGATCTGCGAGCATCCAGGCCCACGCCGGATGGGGCGGGGCTCCCAGGCCCTCAGCCCCGCCCACTTCAGCTTCCTCCAAAATTCGGGAGCTCGAACCCCGAGTGACCACGCCCCAGGACCACAGCAGGAGACTGCCGACTTCCCTCTGCAGGGCAATGCCCACCGGAACCGTGCAGCTGGACAGCAGCCAAATTCAGCCGCAGGTCTTGGTCCTGTGCCGCCTCTATCGCGAGAGCCAGGCTTCCCGGGGCCGGGAATGAGGTATCCTCCAGAAGGGACAAGGCACCCCAAGTGATTCCCCAGGTCCTGGCACGTGACTAGCCTCACGCCCTTATCCGGGTCCTTGGCTCCAGGAACTCCAGGCAGGAGTTACCTAGCTCAGGAGCTTCTAGGACGCTGGAGCTGTCCGCCGCCTGGTGCTGAAAGGGACAAGGCGGGTTCGAGATGGTCTGCTGCCAGGCCGGCCACAGGACGGGTAACGCCACTGCTTGGGGAGGGCAGTGACGCGCGATGCTTGGCTGTTTCGTGGCACGCCCACGGCGTCCTGCCACAGGGATTGGCCCAAACGCGTTTTTAAAAAGGCGTCCAGCACCTTGAACTTGGATTGGAACCCACATTGATACCGTTCTGCCTTCCAAGCCCACCGTGCAGATGGTGAGACTGACGTTGGAAAGATGTGATTTCTTTCTGGAATTTACCTTTATGCAGCTGCTCTGCCCACATTGAATGGTTCTATGTTTGGGGTGTACCTTAGAGTGACATCCCTTGTACTGCCCGCTTCCTGGGCGCAGGCATGGCAAGAACCAAGTTGTCCTTAGTGGCTCCCTCTTGGCAGCCCCTCCTCCCAGGTGAAAAACAAGATGTGACTGGTAGGTGGCAGCACTGACTTAAGCTATACTGTCCTGTTCTAAGGTGTGGCCACTACACTGTCCAGCTGCTCTGCAGGCCTGGGCTCCAGGCAGGTGGCACCACTGGCAATCTTGGGCATTTGAGGGTCTCTGTTTACCCAAAATTAAAACAAGAGTATTTGGTCGATTGACCATTTACTGTATTCTACCTTCTTCAGGCCACATTGCTTTGCCTGCTGCTGTTTCTCTTATCTGTGTACGGCTTGGCACACCCTCATACTAATGTCTGTCCACAGAATGAATGGACAGGCCAGGGACCTGTGTTCTTTCCTGGTGCTCACCAAGCTTGAGCCCTTGGGAAGGGATCAAACTGGGGGAGATACAGGCAGGTCCTGTTGGAGTAAAAGTCCGGGGTGTGGTAAGTAAGGAGAGGATCTTTATTTGTCAGTGAGGTGCCTGGGGAGACATGGAGAGCAGGTCAGGGGGCAGTATTTGTCTTCCCTGACCACATCTATGAACTTGTGTCTCCTTCTGTCCAAGGGATATGCTGTGTGTTGCTATAGTTAAGGAGTAGATGTGAAGACGATTCGGTGGGAGAGGCTATCTGAAGGGCCTGGCCATGCTGGGGAGATTGTTGTTTTGTTTTGGTTTGGGTTTGATTGTTTTGTTTTGTTCTTTAATCCTTGACTTTCAGAGGTAATTTTGCAGTTTGGATGATGGGGTTTTAGGCTGCAGATGTGGGGCTGGGCATTCTAGAGCCTCGGATGCCAGGCTGGGATGCCTGGGCTTCATGCCAAAAGTGATGGGACCTGCAGAGGGCACATGCATGCCTACTGGCCCAGTGCTTATGGGAGAGGGTCCTCCACTGCTGGGAGCAGCCATGGAGAGAGGAACATTCCACCAATCCATCTGTCAAAGTTGCTTTTCTTATGGGTGTGACAAAATACACAGCAAAAGCCACTCACAAGAGAAAGAGTCTGTTTTGCCCAGTTCCAGGACACAGGTCATTATGGTGGAGAACTCTTGGTAACAGGGGTGTGGAGCAAATGGTCACACTGTGTCCTTAGTCAAGAAGCAGAGAGAGTTGAATATTGCTGCTTAGCTCAACTTATCCTTATTCAGTCTTGGACCGCAGCTCAGGAGATGGTACTGCCAACATTAGGGTAGGTCTTCCTACCTCAGTTTACACAATCTGGAACTACTCTCACTGAAACACCCATAGGCACATATATGTTTCTATGGTGATTCTAAATCAAGTCAAACTGAGGAGGGCTATGGATCTTCATACCATCTATATCACAGGCACACCCTTTGACTCAGCAGCCTGATTCCTAGGAAGCTCACCACACACATGCAATATCATGGAGACCATGATTGATCTCTGTATCTATCACTGGGCTGTTAATGCTCTGTGACTCATGGGCACAGCCATCATGGTACGGACACTTCCAGAAGACATGCATGGGGCACAGAGGCCACTGAGACACACTTGCACTAAAAAAAAAAAAAAAAAGCAAAAAACCAGCTCAGAGCAGCATGCCAAGGGTGCCAGTGTCCAGCAAAGTGTTCGTAGGGGCAGACTCACTCTGTATCTTTGGGAGGGGCAAAGGAGAAGCCCAGCCTCCAGGGAAATCACTACATGCTGCTGGACCAGGGTGAGCCTAGCTATCCTTTCCCACCATCCCCTCAACCTTAACTTCTGAGCCATACTCATGAGTTATAACCCAAACCCAGAATTCCATAAAAACATAAAGCATAGTTTCAGCAATGGACTCCTGGGCCGTGCCTAAGCTCAGGTGTGTGGGGACAGAAAGGTGAGAGAAGACCAGGCCAGGCCTTCTCTATTTGTGCCTTTGCTCTTCCCAGAAGTTCCTGAGGAAAGTCTCTTCTTTCAGACTCTCAGAATGATGGGCATGGAACTGGCTTCTGTGTTGTGGCTTCATAACGGCATGGGCATTATGGGGTCACCTTTGAGAATGCTGCCTTGAGAACTGCTCAGTATGAAGGGCCTAGCTGTGGCATAGGGTATGATGGGCAGGTCCTGGGCTAGCTGCCAAGAGACTTCAGTTCAAAACCTCGCATGTGCACTTCATGCCTATGTGGTTCTGGGCCACCTATGTCTCCCCACATCTTAGTATTCCCATCTACATATTAGATCATGTATGTGGCTGGGGAGACAAGCCATGGTTATGTGTGAACCAGTTGACCTGAGCTATTCAAGTGCCACCTACTACCTCCTGCCCTCTTGTGAGCAAAAAGTGAGGCACTAGCTCAAGGCTGACTCCCTCATGTGGTATCACTGTCAGCTTCAGCTGTCAACTTGACACCAACCTAGAGTCACTAGGGAAGAGCGAATCTCAGCTGAGGAATTACCTTCCCAGGACTGACCTATGGGCATGTCTGTGAGGCATTTTCTTAATTGCTAACTGATGTAGAAGGGCCCACTGCGGGCAGTGCCATCCTTGGGAAGTTTGGCCTGGCTTGTATGAGGAAGGTAGCTGAATATGAGCCTGAGAGCAAATCAGTGGTTTTCTGTTTCAAGCTCCTGCCTTGAGTTCCTGTCTTGGCTTCTCTCCATGATGTATTATTTAGCCTGTAAGATGAAATAAAGTCTCACCTCTACATATTGTTTTTGGTAGTGTTTTATTACAGCAACATAAACAATTGGGAACATATACAAAGATCACAATCGGTATAAATACCCCTTCTAGCTCACTACTCTGATAGCCTTACCATACTGCCTCATGGTCCAAGGTGGCTGCTAAATCTTCTTTCCATCCCAGGAAAGAGATAAGGATTATAAAAGATCCCATGTCCTTATAAATCCATTCAGAAGTTGAACACTATACTTCAGTTTAGTCTCATTGGTCAGAACTTGCCTACAATGGATGCTGAGAAGCATAATTATCCCAGGTGACCACAGGAGTACCTAAAATTCAGGGCTCAGTTGCTCCTGGAACAGGGCAGACACTAGCTGGATTGGGCTTCTTGGTCCACAGACATGAAGGACCAAGATCATAGCAGCAGCTCAGCCTGCTTCTGACAAAGGGCCTTATTCTTAGATTGCAGAGGCTCCTGTCTCTGTGTGTCTACACATGACAGGGGAGGAGTGTTCTTACAAGGACACAGTCCTACACATGGAATTAGGACCCCATCCTTAACCTTAACTGTCTCCTGGACACCCCATTTCCAGATGATGGAGGTTAAGGCTTCAACGTGAGATATGGAAAACGTAATTCACTCTAAAGCATGGTGGCAGTTCATTTCCAAACAAATAAACTTGGAGCCTGACTAGAGGCAGGGCTGTGATATGTGATGTGGCCCAGGCTTAGCAGTCCTCTGTGAGGTGGCTGCAGTTCTGTAGAAAGCATCCTCATAGCTCAAATAGGCAGAGCACCGCATGCCCTTGAAAAAGCCATCATCCACATAGCAGGGGCCGGGGCCCAACCTTCGGAAGAATTTGTAAAACTTCAGAGGCCACAGCTGTTCCCTAGCCATAACTGCACTCATTGTGTGAGCTGGAGCCCAGCTCTCCATTGAGTGGCATGGGAAGCTGCATAGATTAAAACATCTGTCCATCTAAGCCTGGCCCAGGTTCCTCGTAGAAGCCTGTCTGTTGGTTCCAACCTTGGTTTTTTTCAACCCTGAGGATGGCAGGGAAGGAGGACATCCCTGGCACTTCTGCTCTGGGCCAAGCCCTTCATGCACATAAGCACACGTGGCCCCATCTCCTTTTTGCCTTTTTCAGTGGCAGCTGTAGGAGTAAAATACTGACAGGTCATGTGTGGCAGGGCTGGAGCTGAGCCGACCACCATTCAAGCCCAGCTTACTTGGCCTTTGTGAAACAAAAGCCAGTTTGTCGAACCAAATGTCCAAAATGCTCTGCTGCAGTCTGAGCCTGGTGCCTGTGCTGGGGAGAGGTCAATCAGGTGGACTCTTTGGCCCCTTGAATTTTGCTCCCCTCTTGCTTTTCTGCAGCACGCCGGCTGCACTCTTTAACCGGCTCTACCCTTTGAGCTACACTCCCTCCTTTTCCTTTTCTGCTGGTGCACTCTAGCTGGTGGCTGTGCTGTCCACATGGAGACGCCCTTTGCCTAGCGATGAGCTAACAAGCTCACGGTCTGCCTGGCTCTATGTAGGCCAGAGGCTGTTTGGTATACACCCTGCATGAGAAAGTCAACAGGAACAACCAAAAAAAAAAAAAAAAAAAAGAAAATTATTCTGCATCCTGCTCGAGTCTCTTTGTCCTAGTAACCATGGTGTCTGAGCAAGCGAAGGGAACACTCAGGAAGGATTTTTATCTTAATGGGAAGCTGACACAAAGGGCTGAGAAAGGCTCTAGGGAAAGACTCCACCAATTTGATTTTTTAATTTAGACTATTGGAATAAGGAGAGTGGGAGTAAAATGCATAGAATATTCTCTCCAATGACGCAAAACTCCGTCTTGTGGAGTAGCTGAGGAGGAAAGAGGTGGCTATGTGCTCCAGGGAAGAGAAGACCTGACCCAGGTTCCAAGTGGGGTCTCCATCAGAAATGCTGGCTCCTGCAAGCTATGAGTGCATTCTGGGCACTGGGATCTCAGCAGTGCCACTCAGTGACCCAGTAATGACATTTTTCAGTGGTGTGGAATGATAATAATATTCACTGCTGGTGGGAAATGACACTCAGATTCAGGAATGGGGTGGGGGTGGGGATCCTGGCTGGGTCTAGTCAATGGCCTAGAGCTGAGCTCTCCGAGGTGCTGAACGACCCTCTCTTCCACAACTACACAGATCAGCATAGGAGTAACAAGCGTCTATCACGTCT